ACACTGTATATGTACACACTCACACACACACCACTGTATATGTACACACTCACACACACACCACTGCCCTTTTTATTTTTCTTTTCAAGCACTCTTTGGCTTCCTATTTGAAAGTGGTCCTGGGCTGATGTGTGTGCCGGGTGTAATTACAATCCTTATATTGGAAAAATTATTCATTCAGGAGTGTTTTTGATATAAAATTTCTCTCTGCTCGATAAATGATTTTGTGATTAATTACACTGTAGTAGTTGCTGCTATCATTTCGTCTGGTGGGTTATGGGAAGGGAAGCCTCTGAAAGAGAACTGATTATATTTGCTTAAAGATTCAAAATGCTGTAGAGTCAAGTCAGACTGATGAATGACTAGATTGCTATTGGAATCCAACGAGTGATGGACATTTGGTCTCCCAGCCTGAGTTCAGAGCTGGATTAGCCAGCTTTACAGGCAGGTTTCCCAGCGACATAGAGGAAGGGCCCTGGATGGCACAACGAGGTAGGGCCATGTAGGCTCATTTAACTTAACACTGTTCCAGGGACAACAACACTAAAAATGTCTTCAGCTTAATTTTTCTTTTTTTCTTAAAGCAAGGTTTCATGTAGCTCAGGCTCGGCTCAAAGTTGCTATGTAACTAAGGATAACTTCTTATCCTATCTCTGAATTCCAAGAGCTGGGGTTACAGTAGTGCCACCACACAAGACTTGAAAAGCCCATTCATACATGTAATTCCTTCCTTTAAAGAGCTTTATTTTATGGTGTGGACCTTTTTCCTGCATGTAAGTATGTACATCATGCCTGTGCCTAGTGCCCAGGGAGGGAGGACATCACTCTTCTCTCCAGCATCTGGAGCAGCAGGATGCGACTCAGTATGTGAGCACTGGATATCAAATATGGGTCCTCTGGAAGAGCAGCAAGTTCTTTTAACCATGGAGCCATCTCTCCAGCCCCAGTTGTCTTCTCTGTTACAAGCATGTACACAACACACACACACACACACACACACACACACACACACACACCCACTTGCCTCTATGCGTCTTTAGCTCCAGATTCTTTGATACAGTTATAGGCTGAAGAATAATTACTTGGGAGCTGGATTTGCACTAGCCATGTGTATCTCAGGGAAGCACCCTCCGATCATCTTCCTGCCTGACTGAGCACTAGCACTGTACTGAGCTCTGATCATCTTCCTGCCTGACTGAGCACTAGCACTGTTACCACGCTGCGTGGGCTTTGCTTGGAGTGGGGTGCTACACAGTAGCAGCATTCTAGTTTTCTTCCATCAGCTCATCTTGTTGATCTAGTGTCTTAGGGTGTCACTGCTGTGAGCAGACCCCATGACCAAGGCAACTCTAATAAGGACAACATTTACTTGAGGCTGGCTTACAGGTTCAGAGGTTCAGTCCATTATCCTCAAGGCAGGAACATGGCAGCATCCAGGCAGGCATGGTGCAGGAAGAGCTGGGAATTCTACATCATCATCTGAAGGCTGCTAGCAGAATACTGACTTCCAGGATGAGGATCTTAAAGCCCACGCCCACAGTGACACAGCCCTACTTTAACAGGGCCACACCTTCTAATAGGGCCACTCCCTGGGCCAAGCATATATAAACCATCACATCTAGTTTCTCAATAAATAGATAAATAAATAGATAAATAAATAAATAAATAAGTTCATTTTTTCTTAGTGGCAAGATATTTTAAGCTGTTATTATTTAAAAAATAGCTATAATCAGTTTCTTAAGTAAGAGTGGTCATGATGGTCCAAATAATGCTTTCCAGATGTCCTATGGAACAAGCTTATAGTTCCCAGAGTCAAACAGAAATTCTGGAGATGTTGTACAAAACCTAGCTCCCGTAGACCTTGCCCTGGAGTGTCACACTGCCATGTGCCAGTGACATGTGAATTGTATTATAATGTATTTTCCCTATTGAGCTAGTTAGTGTTGACTGTCTGCTTGTTTTCATTTATTTTCTTTTTAAAAATATTTTCATTTTTGTGTTTTGCCTCAATGTATGTCTGTGCACCACATGCATGCAGTACCTGAGGAGGCCAGAAGAGGGTGTCAGACTCCCTGGGACTGGAGTTATAGACAATGAGAACTACATTGTGTATGCTGGGAAATGAACCCAGGTCTTCTGGAAGAAGTAGTCAGTGCTCTTATCTACAGAGCCATCTCTTTATTTTGCTTCTATTTCTGAACCCCTATATTCTCACCAGTTTCTTTAATTTAATATAAACACCATTGATCGTTCCTAATTGGTAAATCACAAGTCCATGCACCGGTACAAATGGTGTAGAGGCCAGGATACAGGTTTTGAAGAAAATTCATTTGAACAGTTAACTTAGAATTTAGTTGAAAGTATGGGTTTGATTGCTTCCTTTGTGTATAAAGAAGTGTAAAGTTAAAACATTATTCATTTAAAGTTAAAGAGATGGAAGCAAGCCTTGCTATTTCCACACTGTATCTATCAGCCCAGGCCAGAACCTTTGTATTAGAATAGAATCTTACTTAAGACTTTACTTGCATAATCTGAGGATGTGGGGAATATATGGGAATTTCCTTAAAGTTAGCAAAGGAGCTCTTGTAATTGTTTTATGTGTGTGGTGGAACTGAGAACTGTGGCTTGGGAAGTATCTTAGATTGTGTTATCATAATATTTTGACTCAAAACATTTCATCATTATTAAGTATAAATACTTCCTTACAAACTGTGAGGATTTTAGGGGCATATGTATTTATACATATTAATCCTCACAGTCTGTCAGGAAATGATACTCAGGGACCTTTCTGAAGAAACACCAGTTATAATTTCCATTTAGGATTCCAGAAGTGAATTTAACATCTGTCAGTTATGAACAAAATCAGAGCTACGTAAGAGATGATGGTAATAGATTACATTGAAGAGAATGACAGGTAACACTCCACACGATCTGAAACAGCATTTAGTCACCTTGTCATCAGGAGGCTCGGCATTGGTGATGCCCTCACTGTCCAACAGGAAAGGAGTCGGACAAGCACATCTTCAATGTGGATTAAGCCAAGCTATTCAGTCATCTCGACAAAATATAATTCTGACTTCAAAGCTCCTGCTTGGGTCACGTGGCTGTAATGTAACTGCTTCTGTTTTTCCTGTTTTTGAGCCCTCACTGACTCAGCTGCAGAGAAATGGAGAGGTCAGGGTGCCAGCCCACCAAGCACAGTAGATACTCTGACTTCTCTGTTTCTGTACGGCTTCACTAAGATACACTTGTCCATAATTTTGTTCCCATAAGAATCATAGAGTGAAAAGGGAGCAAGCTTAATGTAAAATTACTGATTCTTAGGTTTTATAAATAACTTTATGTTTTTGGTCTCATTATTTATAAAGTATAGAAAAATGATTTAAAATAAGTTTGAGAATTAAGTTATTCAACTTTGTTATTTAATACAATTATCTGCTTAACTATACCTGTATGAGTACTGATAACATTTATGGTTAGGTGGTTAGGCTTGAAAAATTAGAACTTAAAACTATAATATAAATTAATTTCTTGAAGAGACCTAATTCTACTAAACACGAAATTGTCAACATCAATGTGTAAAATTGGCATGGGCGTTAGGAGAGCCCATGTACTTTGTACTCCTGTGTTTTCACAGCCATGATTTAGTAAGAATAGCTAACTAATATAACTCAGTAAGTGCAAACAGCTAAGGATTCAGAGGCCTGGGTAGATGGATTTGAGATGATAATACAGAGTTCACAGAAGCTGCGTGCATGATCTTTGCTTAATTTAACTGACAGTCCTGGGCTAAGGCTGGGCTTTGAAAACATCAAACAATTGTCTCAGTAACTGGATGATTCTTATGCTTTCCAAATGAGCTTGTTTTTAAAGATAGACTCAAGCCCACACTCCTTCTAACTCTTTAAAAAATATATTTTTGTGAATTCCTTAAGAAGGTCATGCATTCACCACTACCCTCCCCCTCTCCTCCCAGGCCTGCTCTTCCCATCCCCTCTGCTTGGTCTCCTCTTCTTAAAGAAGACTGTCTTGCAGCAGATGTCCTGGTCCTTTGACTCTTGCCATCTTTTTACTCCTTCTGTGATGAAGTCTTAGGTGTAGGGACTGATTGTCAATGTATCAGCTGGGGACAGGTACCCAGTGTTCAGTTGTTCTTTGTGTTTTTACAAGTGCCGGCGGCCTTTTGTAATGATGTCTCTCTGCTGCAAAAGGAGACTCCATTGAGAGGGATGAGAGCTACATTTACCTGTGGATAGAAGGATAAGTATTTAGAGTGCAGTTACAAATTATGCTGGTTTAGAAACATGGCACTGTAGGTTCTCTAGATTTCATAGCCTTACCAGGAACAGGTTCATTGTGTAGTTCCAGGCATGAATTCCTTCCTGCTGAGCAGGCCTTAAGCCAAATTAGACAGTTGTTGATTACCTGGGATATAAGTGCCACTATTGTGTCTTTAAGAATATCTGTCTAGTCTGGTCATCAGGGCTCTTAGGCCTTAGACCCCAGCAGGAGTCTTGACGTCTTTCTTCCTTGGCAGCATGCTTTGCTCTTTCCCAAACCATAAGACCAGTTCTCAGGGAGGAGGCTTTTATGTCAGTTCTAGCTTGATTCTCCCAAGTCCTCTGTCTGAGAGACAATCCGGGCAATGCCAATAGACTGTATGTTTGGGGAGGTGGGTCTCTTGGGCCACTGTGACCAACGACTAGAAAGAAAGTTTTCTATGCCAGGCACGTGGATTTTGATAGTCTGATCTGTGGTGAGCATTTGTTACCACAGCTGGTATAACTTCAATTAAAAGTATTTATACGTCGGGCAGTGGTGGCGCACGCCTTTACTCCCAGCACTTGGGAGGCAGAGGCAGGCAGATTTCTGAGTTCGAGGCCAGCCTGGTCTACAGAGTGAGTTCCAGGACAGCCAGGACTACACAGAGAAACCCCGTCTCGAAAAAAACAAAAAAAAAGTATTTATACATACAAATATATGTAATTTTAATTGAACACAAAATGATGTAATTCTCTATGGCTTTTTCAAACATCCTTGGTGTTATCTATCCTCCTTTCCTCTCCCTGTTACCCCCCACCAGGTAAGTCTTCCTTCTGTTTCTCCCATTTCTCCCTTTGTAGCAACTGTGTTGTGCTGGTTTATCTTCTAGAGCCCCAGCTCCACTGGACACCTCCTGGCCTTTCCTCTTTCCTTGTATCTGCAGTTACTTCAGGTTATGCACTCAGATCCAAAGGGAGCTAGGGGCCACAAATGAGAGAAAACATGGTAATTGTCTTTCTGGGTTGCCTCACTCAGTATAATGTTTTGTATTTCTCTTTATTTAGTTGGATTTCCTCCCTTTCCCTCTCCCTCTACCCTCTCCCTCTCCTTCCCCATTCCCTCTCTTTTTCATACTAGAAAGACTCTGAACCGTGGCAGTGCATATGGGTTACTTGATTTAAGCTGAACAGAGAGGCAGGTGGCAGGCTTGCTAGAGCACCTCCTTGGACTGCACATTATTTCTTCCCAAATTATTTGTCAAACTTAAATCGACATTTTTTTTTTTAAATTTCAGGTATTCCTCGGGTTATCCAATGTAAATTTAGACTTCCTCTGAAACTAATTTGCCTACCTGGTCAGCCTTCAAAAACTGCCAGCCACAAACTAACTATTGACACCAACAAATCTCCTGTCAGTCTGCTTGGCCTCTTCCCAGGTAGGTCTTCCTGTGAGCTCAGAAATGGGGATTCCACATGGAGTCTTCCCACAGCAGGTAATAGGGGGATTATCAGTACCTGTTCAGTAAGGGAAGTGCCCAAAGTCCTTCTAGTCTCATACCTGGGTTCAAAGGTGAACAATCTATGTGAGTAAGGTGGTAAGATACATCTTTTACATTTTATTACCATTTTTATAATCATTATTTTGCTTCAGTGTTCAGATAGAAAAACATCAAATGTTTCTTGCTAGGTTGGAAGTTTTGGCTTGAAATATAAATATTTATTGTTCAGTGTTATTGTAGAGTGTGGTTCTCAACCTAATTAACGCTGTGACCCTTTAATAGATTTCCTCATGTTGTGGTGAGGAAACCCCAACCATAAAATTGTTTGTATTGCCACTTCATGACGGTAGTTTTGATATGATTACGAATTCTAATGTAAGTATCTGTGTTTTCCAGTGGCCTTAGGTGACCCCCATGGGAGGATCATTTGAGTCCCTCCCCCATGGGAAGCGGTCTTGACCCACAGGCTGAGAACCACTGTTGTAGACCTTTGCATACATCCCACTCTAGAGTATCCTTCGTCATCACTGTCGCTTCTGAGGGCTGTCTCATGGATGGTGGTTCCTCATGACTGCTCTGTCTACAGCCCCTGGAGGAGGAGCAAATGGCATTCCTGTCTTGGGCTTGAGGGCCGTAGAGTAGGCTGTGGTGATTGGTGAGGGTGAGTGAGACCTTCCATAGCTATTTCTTTGAATAGCTTAAAGCATAAAGCCCTAGCAGAAGAACTGCAGCTTTGATTAGATAAAACAGCACTGTAGTCAAGGTTTGGAATATACCTATACATCTCTTTTCTTTTTTCTTATTTTATTATAACTTTTTTTCAAACAGTATATTTCGATCATGATTTTCCCTTCTCCCACTTTCTTCCCGATTCTTCCCAACACTCCACTACGCAACTGGATGTTCTTACTTTCTTCCCCCTGCAAAATTTACAAAGGTACAGAACAGTCCACCCCCCCCCCCAAAAAAAAAAAAACACACAAAAAACCTCCACCACAGAGTTAACTTTGTGATCATCAAGTACTGGGCATGGCCGTTGCCAGCAGTTACAAGTTGCAAATAGTTTCTAGGTTGGATGGGAAGCTCATGTCTACTTCCCTGTCAGCACTGAGACCCTATATGGCTTGAGCCTGTGTTGGCCCTGTGCACACTGCCACAGTCATATGAACACCAGGCCTGTTGTGTTGGGAAGACACTGTTTCCTTGGACTCATCTATCACCTCAGGCTCCTAAAAATCTTTCCATCCTCACTCTTGTGTTTGAGGAGTAGGATTTAGAATCCAGACTTTTTCCCACAAAATTTGAAAAATTTGTAGTTATTTGTTCTTTTGTGTTATTATATAAAATGCCTTCAATTTGTTATTCATTAAGAGTAGGGCTTGTTTATTTTGAGACAGGGTCTCACTGTGTAGCTCTGGCTCTCCTGGAACTCACTATGTAGAGTAAGCTGGCCTCGTGAACTCAGAACTCAGAGAGATCCACTTGCCTCTGCCTCCTGGGTGCTGGGATTAAAGGTGTGCATCACCACTCCCCGCCAGCAGACAGGCTTTAAATCCTTTAGTTATTTGTTACTATGGAAGACAAAATCTCTAAAATGAAGTGTTTTTTATTTAACAATCATTCAAGTCTTAATTTTGAATTGAGCTTGTATACACATAGTAATTTTTTGTGCTTTCCTCCCTGTTATTTTCTTCCTTTCTCCCTCTGTTTTCTTCCTCTCTTCATTTTTGTAACAAGGCTGGACTGTAAAGATGTCTAGTGGCCACTTGCTTTGCAGCATCTTGCATGAATTGATTCTTTCTTTGGATTGCACAAACTTCCATGGATACATAGTTGGAAACTGTATGTTGAACAATAATAAATTTGTTGGTGCTGTTGATAATGTTTAAGTACTAGATTCCAAGAAGCTGACTGTTATGATATAAACAGAGCTCAACTAGAGACTGAATACAAATGTAGGTCCTGACCCGGAGTTTCTCTTGGTAAGATATGCCGTAAACTACACTTTACAAAGCCTTGTGGACTCTCAGTTTTCTACTGGCTTGGAGCATGTTTTGTTGACATTGTAGGAATAATAACCCTGTCAGTATTTTACTGCTTTAGAAACAGCACTCAGTGACAAATTAAAAAATATTCTTCTCAAGATTGTATACATATGGCATGTATTTTTTATTTTAAATTTAATGAACATGCTCAGTATTCATTATATCCCACCATCATGTGATCGTGCAGTTGCTTAAGTAGGTTTGACATCAACATCGGTGTATAAAGGCTCTTTTATGTTGACATTAGATACAATGGCTATTTCAAATCTACATATTCCACCTAAAGAAACAGATTACTGAGTGTCATATCAAAGAAATAGCTTTACATCTATTCCTAAATGTTTATTTATTTCTTTGAAGAAATTTAGGTCATATGTGAAATGATTTTAGCTTTTATCACAAATAGATTGGAAGTTTAAAAACTATAAATCAGACCACACAAGGAACCTGCTGCTACTTCTCCTGTATAGAAAGGCATATGTCTGTTTCTCCTTTCCCCTAATATAGCTAAAGAAATGTTTGTAAGCATTTACCCCGCCCCTAAAGATTTTCTTTCATATTGTTTAGGAACATGTTTGTAAACCATAGATATTTTCATTCATGACTTTAATTATTGCATGGTATTTTACTACAGATGGGCACCATGAAATTATCTGACTCATGTTCTATTGTTAGATATTTCTATTGTATTCTTGTGATAATGCCCTTGTAAAACCTACAACTTATGACTATTTCTTGGATAAAGATATGAAAGTAGAGTTGATGTGTTAAAGGTTAAGAATACCTTAAAAGTGTTTGAAATATAGTGTAAAGTTGATTTTCCTCAACCCAATGAATATAAACATTTTGAGCACAGTCCATTGCAAGTGAGGCAACTCATGATGTTTGAAGGGTTAGTGTATTAAGTGTGCTTGGACTTAATGATATTTCAAATTTTTATGGGGTATTGTAGTGCCATACCTTTATAATATGGGAAGTGCCTATATTTAGTATAGAGTGAATGTGATCAGTTCTCTAGGACCCTTCAGTAGGGACCATTCATTTTGTTTTGTTTTAGTTTTGGTATGAATATAAACAAAAACTTTTAAAATACTTCAGGTTTTACCTTGGTTATCTATTCTGACACTTGTACTTTTGTCTGTGGCTGCTTCTGATCTCAGTCTCTTCCCCTGTCTTCTTGGAGACAGAGTCTCCATAGCCTAGGCTGGCCTTGCACCAGAGGTTTCCCTACTCTCTGATCATGAGATTGTTGCCATGCACCACCATGGCCGGTGATAATCTTCTGAAGTCGGGTCAACCTTTTCCTAGACGTCTGCAAATCCCAGATCCTTCCTTTGCCTTCTGGAGTGATGTTTTCCCCTGAATTTATCCTGTGCACACACCTGGACTCAACTATGAAAAAAAGAAAAAGAAACTGAAGTCATTCTTTTGAAGTCACTGAGTGTGGTTAGAAGGCAGAAGTTGGAGCATTAGGAGCTGCTGTAGAGATCAGCTCATATGGCTCATATGTGCGTTTTGAATATTAACAGTGTGAAATTTCCCCAGCGGAGCTTTTATTTAAAATCAGTGCTTCCTTTGTGATTATGTAGGTGATCCTTTCCCCCTTTCCTTGCAGACTTTGCCAACCCATCAGACGATGACCAGGTGAATGTAATGGGCTTCCGTCTCCTACGAGGCTCTCAAGTGACTGTTCTCGCTTCCAGAACTTCCCGTAAGTAAAACCGTGCCATTACTGTCACTGGAAAGTTCAGCTTCGGGTGCCGTGTCACACCAAGGACGATGCAGAGGAAGAAGGTGATGTTTGGCCAGATGTGAGGGTGTGAATTTTCCTGAGAGCCTGGACCGTTAGGCTGTAGGAGTTTCATGAGTCCTTTAGTGAGGCCAAACACTTTAGGGGCAATTAAGGATTATAGCGGTTGGATCTGAATTCATCTGATATCTACCTTACACCCAGTGAGCATTGTGGGGATATCAATAGTTAATTCATCAGTTAATATTTAGCAGTTTCTTCACTATGGGCACAATTTTTTTATAACGCAAATCTAGTTTTCAAAAAGCATTTTGAAAAGTAGATGTAGATATACCTCCATAGTTTCTATTACTGTTGGAGAAGTTATATATCTTCAATTTTAAACTTACCATCTGCTGAAATCGTTTATATTATTTCTCCCAACTTTGTGTTTAAAAGCACTCATCTGCTTTTTTCTCTTAAAAGTTTTCCAAGTGATATAATTACATGCATGTGCTGCTTCTTATTTAATGTGAACTACGTTTGTACTGCTGAAGTTCTGATGATCTGGCATGAGTGGAGTCTGCTGTGGTACTCTGTGGTCTGCTTAATTAAGCACGACATTCTCTCCACTGTTGGTAGGGTTGGGGTGGCAATTGACTTGGGGTCTGATTGTCCGGATTTATTTTATTTGGAAGCTGAAGTGGTTATTTCCACTGAGTGCTACTACAGGATGCAAAAGAAAAGGAGATAAGCAAATGGAGTGTTCACCCTAGTAACGCGTTTGGTTGTTAGTATCTTCAGGGTATATTTAAAAACTCTTGTTCTTTTATCCCCTCTTATAATCAGAAGGTTGCATTTCTCTCGTCTATGAAATATCCAGTGTGGAAGGTCTTCATGTGAGTCATGACACACCTGGAGCATGACCACTAGGAGATGGCTAATGGCCACACCGTGGCCTGGTGGCTTTGACTCATTGTTTCTTGTTGACTTTTGCTAATTTGAGAACAAAGCCAATTTAAGAATACCATTTATCTTACCATATCCAAGTTGTATGTTTTTGTTGCAGAAAGGGTTACTTCTTTCTCCCGTGTATGCAGATACACAGGAGAAAGATGTTAACACTAAGAAGTAACTATAAAGTTACCTAGAAAGCATGTTTGAGTGTTGGATGTTACATCTCTGTTATTTGGTGACTGTCACAATGGAGTCCCTATCAGGCACATGGAATTTTACTTACATTTGGGCTTTTTTTTTTTTGTATTTATAATTATTTATTCTCAAGATAGATTTGCTCCATTTATTAGCATATTGTAGCCTTTTTTTAACCATTTGTTTATTATAATTTCTTTTTTTTTTTAACATGAAATGCTTTTTTATAGCATGTTTTACAAGGGGAGGGGGTAAGAGGGGCCAGGTGGTGGAAAAGTACAAAATCTTCTTGGCCTGTGCCTTGAAACATGTCATGGTCTATACGGTACACTGCCTTGAATTATGATCTACCTGCAGTTCTTCAGAAGATGTGGTACACTGCTTGAGTTATGGTCTCCCTGCTATTCTTAAGAAGACATGGTACTCTGCTTTGAGTCTGTCTGCAGTTGCTAAGCAGGATCTTGCAGTTGCCAAGCTTCAGAGGACATTGTGCAGGTGGGGAAAGGTAGGGGGTGAGGGTAAGGGTGAGGGTCCTGGCTTCTGGCATCTCCCCCTTCTCTGTTTAGTTAGAGAAGGCGTCTTATGATCAATCCCAACTATGTGAATTTTGAATTTGGATGTCTAATTATGGGGGGTCTTAGACAAGTTCACAACCCCAAAACACTGATGTGAGACGAGTCACATCGATGGTCGAAGGCTTTAGGCTTGGTATCACAGAAGCCAAAAGTGGCAGGGGCAGGATGGCCATCTGCCTGAAGAGGGGTCATCCTTGAAGACAGTGGGTGTGGTGCCCATACCCACCTCTGCCAGCTGCAGAGTGAACGCTCTGGTCACAGTAGAGTACAGCTGGCATTTTCCATGAACTGTGGAGGCATACAGGGCGTTGGTTCCTCTTCCTGTGGTGGTTCAAATGAGAAGTGCCATCCATAGGCTCCTGTATTTGTTCAAATATTTGGTCCACAATTGGCATTGCTGTCCTGGGAGATTATGGGACCTTTAAGAGGTGGAGCATTACTGGAGAAGTATGTCACTGTGGATAGCCTTGCCTTTGCCTTCTGTTTGTCTCCCTTCTCCCCCTTCCTTCCTATGTGGATAAAAATGTGATTGGCCAGCTTCTTTCCTGTTTCTGCTGCTGTACCATACATTCTCCACTATTTATGACCAAGACTGTGAGCTAAACTAAAGCCCTTCTTCCTTAACTTTCTTTAGATCATGATATTGTATCTCAACAACAAGAAAGTAAGGAATACACATATGTAGCAGAAAAAGAAGATCTCTCTAGGGATAATAAGAGAATCTCTCTCTCTCTCTCTCTCTCTCTCTCTCTCTCTCTCTCTCTCTCTCTCTCTCCCTCCCTCCCTCCCTCCCTCCCTCCCTCCCTCCTTCCCCCCCCCTCTGAAAACCAAGGGTGAACATGTAAGATACTTAGATTTTTTTCATGGTACTGTGGAAAATCCTAAGACACACTTCAACATATGTGTCTCTTGTTTTACTTGTCTTTACATATTGTAAGCAGAAAGGCTGAAAAATCCTCATCCTGCCAGTGCTCTAATATTTCTTTCTTTAGAATACTGTATATAATATAAACAATTGATGATGAATTAAATGGAATTTGTAATTTCTGAGACTTTGTATCTTGGAAGTTAAAACTCTGGTTTGCTGCCTGGTGACTAGCAGACATGTTGAGCGTGTGCCCCTTTGTATAGGTCTAACCTTATCCTGTAGGTAAGTTCAATGGTTAGTCTTTTTGTACTGGTAATTAGAATTCCAGTCTCTTCTCTGTACATAACCAGCTGGATGTCCTTGTTAATTCCTTAAACTCTTCTGAGATTAGGTTTGTTTGTTTATTTTAAAAATGATAGTGCATTGGCCTGTGAGACAGTTGAAGTTTAGCTGACAGTATGGTTGTTACAAGAACCTGGTGTGTATTGGGCTCCTGTTGTGTTTAGAGAAAACAAGGTTTATTGTGGGTCCCTGAAAAACAGGAAAATTGAAATAGGTAGGGAAGAATATATGTAGTATAAATTCTAGCTGTCACATTTAATGTATTTCCTGATCCTTGGTTGAGCCACTGGAATTCTGTGTCTTTTTTTTTCTTTATAACAAGAATCCTTTGTACACCCACAGTCCTTGACCCATAGCTGCTCTCCATCCACAGTTGATGTAATGGATGCCATTGCTGTGGATGCAGTCACCCTCACATCGTTGTTGGCACCGCCATCACAGCCACCATCACTAGAGAGTACACACAGAGGAATTTTCGTTGCTCAAGTTTCAGGGACTTGAGGGAACATGATTTTCTTTTTAATTTAAGTGTCAAGTTTAAACATCCTTTTACATTGAGAAAGTTTTAGGAAAGCTCAAAGCTTTGGTCCTGCTGTAGTGATTCATGTAGAATACGTTTTATCTCACAGGGAGTGGTGCTCGGAAGTAGACTAGAACTTCTACACCTACTTTTCCATGGCTGCCTGTCAAGTCAGGTGTTGCACCACAGTTGGGTTGTTTAATTTATTTTCTATTAGGCTCACCAGGAGAAGGGCTACATCAGCCTGTCTCTGACCATCTCCCCTGGGAGGACATCTGAAGTACTTCTATAACTGATACAGGTCAGAGCTACGTTACAAAGAGGGGGTCTTTATGCTTTAGTTAGCGTTCATGTCAAGGCTGCTTGAGGACTCACTTAGTTTCGGGTGGTAATCGTGGGTTAACGAGCACCTTTCTTCATTATTTTTCTCTCTTAGAACGATACCGCATTCAGAGCGAACAGTTTGAAGATCTCTGGCTCATAACCAATGAACTCATCCTCCGCCTTCAGGAACATTTTGAAAAACAGGGAACCAAAGACTTTGCCTGCTCTTTTTCTGGATGTGTGCCCCTTCAAGAGTATTTTCAGTTGATTGATCATCATTTTGAGGTATGATATTAAACCAAATAACCTTTACTTGAAAAATAAATAAACCATTCGAATTTCCTCAGTTGAGAATTCTTTGTTTAGCTCTGTACCCCACTTTTTAATAGGGTTATTTGGTTGTCTGGAGTCTAATTTCTTGAGTTCTTTGTATATATTGGGTATTAGTCCTCTATCGGATGTGGGATTGGTAAAGATCTTTTCTCAATCTGTTGGTTGCCGTTTTGTGGTACATTTACACAATGGAGTATTACTCAGCTATTAAAAACAATGAATTCCTGAAATTCTTAGGCAAATGGATGGAACTAGAAAATATCATCCTGAGTGAGGCAACCCAATCACAAAAGAACACACATGGTATTCACTCACTGATAATTGGATATTAGCCCAGAAACTTGCAATACCCAAGATTAAACTCACAGACCACATGAAGCTCATGAAGAAGGCATACCATAGTGTGGGTGCTTCGGTCTTTCTCAGAAGGAGTAACAAAATACTCAAGGGAGTAAATATGGAGACGTAGTGTGGGACAGAAACTGAAGGAGGGGCTGTCCAGAGACTGTTCCACCTGAGTATCCATCCCATGTGCAATCACCAAAGGCAGATGCTGATGTGGATGTCAGGAAGTGCATGCTGACAGGAGCCTGATATAGCTGTCTCCTTAGAGGTCTGCAAGAGTCTGACATATTCAGAGGCAGATGCTCACAGCTAACCACTGAACTGATCATGGGGTTCCCAATGGAGGAGTTAGAAGACTGAAGGAGCTGAAAGGGTTTGTGGTCCCATGAGGAGAGCAACAATACCAACCAACCACAGCTCCCAGGCTAGATGCCCCAGCATGGGGGAATTTGAGGGTGGGGAGGTAGGTGGGTGGGGGCATACCCTCATAGAAGCACGAGGAGAGGAGATGGAATTGGGGGTTCTTGGGTGAGGAGGGGGAATGGGGAAACGGGATAACATCTAAAATGTAAATAAAATATCCAATAATATATATAATATATATATAAAATGTATATATATATATATATAATATATGTTATATATTATATATATATTAAGAAAAAGAAAAGTAGATCAAAGAGCAAGAGATGCTGTGGAAGAGAGAGTGGTAGGCACATGTTGGGCAGCTGTGTGCTGTGAGTTAGGATGGCGGGCTTTGCCCAGTTACAGATCAGCTGCAGACGTTTACAGAGGGGCAGGCTGTAGCCTGGCTTGTGGTCTCACCTTCAAACATTGCTGATTGGATTCTCCCACATGTAAACTCAACCCTTGACCTCAATAACCCATGGTTAAAACTGTCGGAGTTTATCATCCTGAGTAATTCAAGCAGGACATAAATGGAGTATGATGATAAGGTGATTTTTTCTTTTCTTATACACAGTTAGCACAACTGATCTGCACTGGAGTGACGGTTTAAGAGCATAAAATGCTCCCTTGTACCTGGCATGATGGGTGCTTAGTAAATGCTGAGTTGTTAGACGTACAAACCTGAGTCCGACAGTGCCTCTGTGCCTCTGAATGTCCTCCTGCCTGCTTGGAAGTTCTGTCAGAGATTATGTCGGGTGCTCTTGAGTGTTTCAGTAGCATCATTTCTACATCCTTGGACGATTAATTTGGTATTTGAAAGATTCATGTTTTCTGAATAATGGGCACTGACTATCATTATTTTAAATGTATACATTAAAGTCACAGGTGCACTCACTGAATAGAATCTCTGAACAGATTCTATAGGCATTTTTAAAAAGAAGGCAATTTTGAATGTCTAGCATTGGTTACTAGGGTGACTATGTTTTTTAAGATTTTGTTTTATTCTTGTTTTATGTGTACATGTGTGGTCCTTAGTGTATGTATATGTACCACATACATGCAGGTACCCTTAGAGACCAGAAGCCAGTACCAGGTTCCCTGAAACTGGGGTTACAGAAGCTATGAGCATTGGTTCTGGGACTTGATCCTGTGTCTCCTGTAAGAGCAGGAAGTACTTGTAGCATTTAACTATCTCTCATGCCTCTACAGTGATTGTTCTTTAAGGAGTTCAGCCTGTTTGGATGTTACATCAGGTGTCTTCTCTACTCATTTCTTTCTTTTTTCTTTTCTTTTCTTTTTTTTTTTTTTTTGAGAACATCCCTCAGCTTTTCAGCTAGACTGGCTGGCCAGCTAGGCTGCTGGCATTGACTGTAGACATCCCATCCCTGAGCCACGCTCAGGCCTTTTGGCTTTTTATATGGGAGATCTGAGCTAAGGTCCTCTGCCTTCCACAGCAGGCTCTTTACCCATTAGCCATCTCCCCAGCTGAGGTACTGGTTATTTTGTGGGTTAGTATGTATTCGACTCAATTGTGGCACCAAAATTGACAGTTTGGGAGCATACATTGAGATACCTTAAATATAAACATTTTAAATTTTAATATTTCAGCATAACTATGAATATCCACATGTAATTTTTATATATCTAATATTGTATTGATATATAATTATATATATAAAATATATAACAATATAGTAATATTTATATGTAAGTCTTTCTTTTGGCATATTGAGAAGTGGAAGTATGGGCCTTGTACACAGTAAGCAAATGTTTTGGCGTGAGCTAAAACCCCAGGCCCCTTACATTGTTTTTTGCAAATATTGTTAATAGACTACATTTGCAGAAGCTGTATGCTGAATAACTGAGCTAATTTTATTCTTCTAGGATATATTTTAAGAGGTCCTTGCTTGACTGTGATTTATGAAACAGTCTACAGAGAGACAATACTATCTACATGTTCATAACATTTAAAGTAGAGGTTACTGTGTTTTGTTGGCTAATAGGTTTGCCATTGCCATACACTTCCCCTCCTGAGTTTTTGGATAGGGACTCCCTAATGTTTCCATATCAGGCTCTTTCTTTTGGGGGAGGAGTTTTGGCACTTTGATTTGTTACACACACAGGGGTAATGAGTTTTCTTCCTTTGCTCCCTGTTTCCACTGTCTGTTTCCAGCTTTGAATAATTTCTTAAACTTTTAATCAGGATAGCTTCTAGAACATAGGTTTCTTTGTGTAAGCAAGGAAACTACAATGTTTATGTGTATACATGTATCATTTCTGCCTTCTTTACTCATTTTAAATCTTGGTTTTGAGCCTCATGATTGATAAATATTTGTTAAAATGTTACAGTTCTTTTATTTCTGTAATAGCCATTATTGCTGGTGTGGCTCAGGAGTTGGTTCACTTCCTTCGCTCTGGCTTTTGAGGTTAGGTAGTCAGGCTTGTTCAGCAAGCACTTTTACCCACAGAGCGATCTTGCCAGCCCTGAGGTCCCTAAATTATGAAACTCTGATATTGAAAAACAGCTTAATCTCTGGTTCATGCTATACATTGAACTGGCAGCCTGGTTGATACCTGAATATCAAGGAAGTCCTTTCAGTAGCATGTATTCATAGACTCAGGGAATATTGTGGAAGCAGATCTCACATAGGTGAGTTATAACTGGCCTGTCATTCTTCTTAGGACAGGGTCTCCTATGTCCCAGGATGCCTACAGGTCCCATGCACCTGACGATAAATGCGGCTTACACCTTGTGTGTCCTCTAACTTCACTTCTGAGTGTTGGGATTGCTGGTTGAGCACTGCCATGCCTGGTGTACACAGTACCCTGGGCCTCCAGCACGCTAGGAAAGTCCTCTGACTGCAGAGCTACAGTTCCAGCACCTGTTATTTATTTAAAACTTTTAGTTATTAAAAGTCTCTTTTTATGTTTCCCATGTGTTCTTTTTTTAATGTTTGAGATTATAATTAGATTTAAAAAAATTTCTTTTCCCACCCCAGGCTCTCCCATGTACCCCTGTTCACTTTCCTTCAGATTCATAGCCATGTGCATATAAAAACATATATGTACCTGTGCATTCCTATGCATAACCTCTTGAGTCTGTATAAAGTTATCCGTGTGCATGTTTCAGGGCTCACGGTTGGGCACTGGGCAACCAGTTGGTGTGCTCTTTCCTGGAGAAGACCGTCTCTCCTGATCTCAGCTCTCCTCAGTTGCCCATAGTTCTTTGTGTAGAGTTGAGGCAGCATGGTCTTTTCCTCGTCCACTTTGGCATGCCTGTTGGTCATTCTTCCTTGCTCAGCTCAGGTTTAGGGGCATCACTTTGGTGAGACTTTATGAATGTAGCTTCTGTTATTATGAGGAGACATAGTCTCACAGCAAACTTCCTGATCCACTGGCCCTTACAATCTTTCAACCCATCTCTTCTACAGTGTTCTGTGAGCCTCAGGTATGGAAATGTTTTGTAGGTGTACCCATTAGGACTGGACTTCACAACTTTGCTTATTGATTCCTTGTAGTTTTCTGTAATGGCCTCCGTCTGTTGCAAAGAAAGGTTTCTTTGAGGAGGGAACACTTATCTGTGGGTATAAGGACAAATGTTTAAAGACTTTTGTTAGGGATTGTGCTGTTTTAGTAAGGTAGTAGTTGCAGGTTCTTCTCTAATAACGAGAGTTCACTAGCACTGAGTAGTTAGCTAGGCTTCCAGTACCAGGCAATGTCTCCCATTAGTTGAATGGGTGTTATGTTCAATTGGAGAGCCTTTGGTTACCACCGAGGTATGCATTCCACTACTGGACCGGTAGGGTCAGCATGTCTTGCTGTCATCAGTGTGCTTCACAGATATCATAGTTGGGTAGGACTCTTTGTTGCCTCCATCCTTTGGAAGTTTGTATAGTGCTTTCGGGAGAAAACAGTTCCATCTCTGGAGGTTCTGGGCCCTGTTTTGGAAAGGAATCATGTCTTCAGTAATAGAGACTTACCTTCCACCTCTGGTGGGTAACCAAGGGCAGCAACAAAGGGCTGTATGTTTTGAGAGTCTCTTGGACATCGCTGGACAACACCTCAAAAGAGTACTTCTCATGTCTTGTACTGTGGGTTTTGTTAGGTAGTCTCTGGCTCTTGGTGGGAGTCCCATCAGCCTAGATTAGAAAAGATTATTTTATTTATATATATATAGTATACACACACACATACACACACCCCCCCCCTTATTTCCTTCTTTCTCTTTCCACCCTCCAGTCCCTCTCATGTCCCCTTGCTCTAGCTTCTCCCATGCCTCCCTACTCTCACACACACATATACAAACCTCACTGAGTCTGATTTTTGTTGTTCGTGTGTGCATGTGTGCGTGCGTGCGTGTGCATGCACGTGTGTGTGTGTGTGTGTGTGGTTTCAGTGCTGATTATTTTGTACTAGATAACCAGTTGGGGCTCATAGCTTAGAAAAACCAGTTCTCTCAGCAGACATGAGTTGTCTGTTGGTGGCCCCATGGGATTTCCCCTCTTTTGTGTTAGCGTGTCTACTGATGTTTGTAATTCTTCAGTCCTACCTCTTAGTTTTTGATAACGAAAGGTATTTCTTCCTTAGGACACTGACTGGATTTTTTTTCATTGATATTATATCTCTCAGTAGGAGACAAGCTGCTGATTCTCATCCACTAGCCTACCAGTCTGTTCTTTGGGGGCTGCTGTAGGTGTTAGTATTTTTCTAGAAATAGTCTGTGTAGTCACAGCTATGCTAATACTCAGTTTTACTTGAAAAAGCACATGGACAGCAACGCACGAAAGTACGCTACTTTGTGGCTTTTGATTTGCTTTATTTAACGTATCACTAGAGAGACTGAATGCCAACATACACCTTGCACAGTATTCCTCAGTATTAAATCAAGTTTCTTCATGGTGGGTATTTTGATTGTTACTATCTAAGCATAATAGCAAGAGAATAGTGTTATAAATATCCTTATGTGTGTATACTATCTTGTAAGCATTATCTCTTGGATAAGTTTCTAAGAGTGGGATTACTAGATCAAAGGCTATTACTTAAAAGCTATTGTGGGTAAGTGGGTGGGGCTTTGTGAGGCTTTCTTATAATTCAGGTACATGGACGCTGAGGCATCAACATCTTGAATTTAAGGTCATTTTTTTTTTGGCTACACTCTGTTGCACAAAATAAGAAAAGATATAATTATCATTTTTTACTAAAAAGTTCACATTTTTTCTCTTTTTTCCCACTGATTGCTGTGGGCCTGTAGGCCTTTTGCATTGGTTTGTAGATGCTGTCTAGACACTAAGGCACAATTTTGGTTATGAATATAGTTATTACTATTGCTTTATGCAACTTGCTATTTGTCTTATCACTTTTCTTAAGAGCATTTAATCATGTAGAATTAATTTTGTATATGTGTATTTGTGTAGTGTGCACGCATGTGTGCACTCATGTGTGTACAGTCATTTTCATGTATGGTGGTTTGAATGAGAATGGCCCCATCTGCTCATAAATCCCACGTAGTTGGTGGAACTGTTTGGGAAGGATTAGGATGTCAGGCCTTGTTGGAGGCGTGTTGCGGGGCTGGTCTTTGATGTTTCAAAGCCTTCTGCTTCTCCACTGTGCTCTGTCTTCTCTCTGCTGTGCTGTGGTGAGATGTGAGCTCTCAGCACTCATGCTGCCATGGCTTCAGTTCCTTGCCATGGACGCTATAATGTTCTGGAACCAAAGCCCAGCTGATCAGCAGTTTCCTTTATAAGCTGTCTTGGTCATGTTGTTTTATGACAGCAATAGAGATGGAATGGATGCAGGATTACGTGTGTGTGTGTGTGTGTGCGCGCGCGCGCGCGTGTGTGTACATGGATACTGGAAGATGGAAGGTGGCATTGGTTATGTTCCTTGATTGTTATTATGCTCCACTTCATTTTTCAGGGCAAGGTCTTTCCCTGATCTCCCCAGCCTTGTGTTTGCCATTTTACGTGTGTGGTCTACTCTTTAATCAAAGATTTATGCCTTCTATGAATCTTCTGGATAAGAATTACCCTCCTTACTCCCATCCCCAGTACCATCTCATCTCCATCCAGCTGTTGGTGAGGGTGAGAGCAAGCCATGACCTTTTCAGGGCAGGGAGCTCAGGTTGTGAATGTATTCGCACTCTTTCAGGGTCTCGCTGAAGCCTGTTCGATAGCGATAGGTCACTCTGAATGGTGAAGTAGTACAGGAACTGCTTGATCTCATAGGAGCAGGGTTCCATCTGTAGGGGTGAGGAGGCAGGATGGGAAGGGACCTGCTGGAAGGCAGACTGGACAGGGCACTACCCATGGCATGCCCTATAGCTGAGCCCACTGTTATGCCTGTGGCAGTAGATGCCATCAGAGCCATAAGACCTGGCTGGCCCCTAGTGGCAGGTGCAGGGGTGGCTGCTGGAGGTGGTGGGTACACATCGCAGCTTCTGAGAGGCATGGGGACGCATGTAGGAGCAAGGAGGAGTGGCGTAAGAATCGTGGACCATAGCAGCCTTTTATTTCTTCACAAGCTTTGTTTTATTTTTTAAAGATTTATTTACTTTTTATTTATATGAGTACACTGCAGATGTCTTCAGACACACACTAGAAGAGTGCATCGGATCCTATTACAGATGGTTGTGAGCCACCATGTGGTTGCTGGGAGTTGAACTCAGGACCTCTGGAGGAGCAGTCAGTGCTCTTTACCGCTGAGCCATCTCTCCAGCCCATAGCAGCCCTTTAAGTGCTGGAAACCATGATTTTATTTTTTAGCAGTAATTTAGCAGATTGATTTTATGTATATTTGTATATATTTGTGATTTTTTTCTTCCTACAGTTTATTCACAGTTAATTATAGTTGTTTGATTATATCATATCTAAGAAATTTAAGAGGGCTAAAAAATGACTTTGGGGGAAAGTGATTTGGGGGAAGTGGCTTTTGTTTCAAACAATAAAAGCCGAGATTATAAAAGCTAATTCAGTTCTAGTGCTTCTGTGTCTAAATCTTTATTCACTTTGCTATTCTGTTTGTTGCAGTGAAAAAAACAGAGAAATTAGAATTTTTCTATGTAGCCTGTTTTCATGAAAGATGTCAAAGATAACCAGTCTCTCCCCAGTGATACATTGTGACACAATCTGTCTCTCAGCTTTCACTGACCGATTTTCGACTTTCACGTTGTCCCTGTAATCCTGAGCCAAATACCATGCATTCCTAATTCCTGTTACTCTGTTTACATCTGTCCAACTCTTTCACAGCTTTTAATGCCTTGCTTGTATTTTTAATATAAACATCCTTTACAGTTTCTATTTAACACCAATGTAAGAAATTATTTCTTATAGTTGCGGATAAATGGTAAAAAATTGGAAGAGCTTTTGTCTGAGAGAGCTATACAATTTCGAGCCATCCAACGTCGGCTTCTGGCAAGATACAGAGACAAGACCCCTGCTCCACTGCAGAACCTGGACACCCTGCTAGACGGGACATACAAGCAGGTCAGTGCCATATCAGGGCGAATGTATATTGGTAGATATGTCTCTTCCACCCCAAGAGCTGGGCACCAGGGCACTGATATATGCTGAATAGCATGGTTAGAATGGTTGAGTGATTTTTTTTTTTTTTGGTATAGGACATAATTATCACCTTTCTTCTCTATTTTCCCAAGAAACTATCATGTACTCCCAGTATCTGTATAGTTATAGTGAAGGTGTCGGGCTTCTTGTATCTTATTGAGTTTGTACATGGTATTACTACTTTGTTTTAAAAATATCATTGGCAGTATTTACATTCTGAATTTTAAAACCAAGGATTTAGAAAGCTCTAATAACTGCATATTCCCATGTACCTGTGACAGGTGATATAGACATATTCCCGTGTGCCTGTGACAGGTGATATAGACATATTCCCGTGTGCCTGTGACAGGTGATATAGACA